TAGAGCCACGCCAGTTACTGCAAATTGTCACTAGATACTGTCGTTAAATACTGCCACCTGGGGCGGTCCTAGACCAGTGTATGCTGGGGGTGGGGGGCACATCTATATTTCCAGATAAATCCTTAAAGACAGGACAGATTTCATGGCAAAAAAAGCTATGCACATATTTATACATTAATTCATGGTTCTATAAAATATATACATTAAGAAAGTTGAATTGTTATTTATCGTTAATCCTTTTTAGGGCAAGTACATCTTATTTTGGCATTGACCAATTATGTGAGCCCTTGGATGATATATTATCTACTGTAAATAAAGTTGGAAAAAAAAGATAAGTCAAAAAAAAAAGTAAAAAGCGAATTAAAAAGTAAAGTAAAAAAATTAATAAGCCTAGTTAACAATTATATTTAGGTTTATAAACCAAAAAATGTATGTGCCAGTATCAGCATTAGGGGGTCAGCAACCCCTAGGGGTCGACGGAGGTACTCAATTCAATTTTTCCACTAATTGAAATGTCTTTAAATCCACATTAACATGAATTCAACACACTGTAGTAAACAGATAAATGGAGGCAGAAGATGTCTTTCAGTCATCAATGCACACATTTAGCGACACACAGGAGCTCTTTTAAGCTGGACACCATTTCATTCACAACACCTGTCCCTTCAACTAGGAATCAGAATAAGAAATACTTTAATAATCCCAGGGGGAAATTACTTTTGTTACGTTAGTCCATCTGTAACAGAGTAACTATAGGACCAGTTTGATATAACACAATTTCATACAATATATGTATAATTAGGGGTCCCCGCTCCATCTCAGCATCAGTTTGCGGGTCAATGGCCTGTAAAACACTGAAGAACCCTACTCTAAAGTTATGTTGTACCAAAAAAATGTTTTTTTCATTCTGAGTGTTTTTCATGAATTTCTTATTGAAGCACTTTTGTTATTTTTCTTAATATGTTCGGCATTTCTTGTTATTACATTGACATTAATTTTTGCCATCAAAATATCCATATTTTTTAATGTTACAAAGGTAATAAGGTCTTGTCCTGGATTCTAATAACACTATTGGCTGGAAATTTGGATTTTCAAAGCATTTCTCCGGCTGCCCTATAAAGGGTTAACCACATAGGAGATTGCAGAGAGAAACTCTTTCCTACAAATCATAAAAAATAATCCTTAAAATGTCTGTATGTTTCCAGTTTATTCTTAGTATATTGTTGAAAATAATGATCACTGCTGCCACCCTCTGGTTTAGAGAAGAACTCCTTGTTCCAGAGGTGATGAATTACATCCAAATGGGCGAAGCAAATCATGCTGCTCCTCCAGCTCCGCCTTTGGTCTAGCTGTATAATATAATATAATCAATAATAACAAAGTTAAACTGTTTCTCCCCAGGCTGTCCTAAATGCTGCCATCCCTGACCATGACGCGGATGCCTTCAGCCCCCCACGGACAGAGGAGGCCTTGTACCTGGACTCTGCAGTGGACTGGTTATTCGGTGGTCTCTCCCACTGGGACGCAGAGCACTTCCTCTTCATCGCAGAGAGAGGATACCTATATGAGCACAACTTTGCCTTTTTCCCTCTTTTCCCCATCGTGCTGCGGGGCCTCGCTGAGACTCTTCTCTGGCCCCTCAGCAGCTGGCTCAGCATGAGGGGCCGCTTGCTCCTGGCTGTTGCTTTGGGGAACAGCGCCCTCTTCTTGCTGAGCGTGGTTGCCTTCTATGCCCTCAGCAGAGTGGTTCTTCAGGATCGTCGCCTTGCTCTGCTCTCCAGCTTCCTGTACTGCTTTACGCCTGCCAATGTGTTCATGACAGCCGGTTACTCGGAGAGTCTGTTTGCAGCGCTCACCTTTGGTGGTCTGTTCCTCCTGGAGAAAAGCTTCACGCTCAGAGCCTGCTTAGCCCTTAGCATCGCCACAGCAGCACGGTCAAACGGACTGGTTAACATAGGCTTTCTTCTGTATCTGCCCTCACTGCATGCCATTTCCCAGATCCGTGTGTATCGTGCAACAACTAAAGGTCACAGTAAAGTGCTCCACTATATCTTGGTGGTGGTCCGTCTTCTGTTCACCTCCCTCTTTGGAACGGCTGTCATTGCTCTCCCCTTCTGCGCTTTCCAATATTATGGGTACAGGACGTTTTGCACCCCGTCCACCTCCCTGGAGCAGATCCATCCGGCTCTCCTATCCCTGGGTGAGCGGAAGGGCTACAGGGTTCCAGATGAAAACAGCCCGCCGCCCCTCTGGTGCCTCAGACCTCTCCCCCTGCTTTATTCACACATTCAGGACGTTTACTGGGACGTGGGCTTCCTCCGTTACTTTGAGCTGAAGCAGATACCGAATTTTATTCTGGCTATGCCCATGGCTACCCTCGCTATTATGGCCGCCTATGCATATTTTCATGCTAATACAGAGCTGTGTTTAAGGCTTGGACTTTGGGGGACTGGACTGGAGAAACCTACACCAGGATTCTTTAACCCAAAAGTCTTTGTGTATGTTGTGCATTCTACCGTTCTCCTAGTGTTTGGAACCCTATGCATGCATGTGCAGGTAAGGAGAAAAAAAAAACACACTGTTTCTGTAGTCAGAGTTTGAACTATGGGTGTTTATAAACTCAGTTCTTTTTGTTTCAGGTTCTCACCAGATTCATGGCCTCTTCATCTCCTGTGCCCTTCTGGATAAGCGCCCACCTACTCCTCCTCAACGAGCCATTTCTCCATCGAAGGAAAAGCTCTAACCCCAACGTGCAGCTGCAGACTGATCTTAAAAACTCCTGCGGGCACAAACCTCAGAACCCCATCCTTGCTCTGCTTCCACATTTTAAAACTTGCTCTCCCACCACGCAGAGCATCCTGGGCTACTTCCTCTCATACTGGATACTGGGCCTTGCTTTGCATTGCAACTTCTTGCCTTGGACTTGATTTATTAAAATAATCGGAGGATAAAAGCGATATTTCTGCATAGGTTGTTCCTGCAGAATAAATCTTTTTAACTTTTAATATACAATGGTGAAGGTACAGTTTGCCTTGGGGAAAAAAACATGGCTTGAGAAAATATTTTTATGAATGCCTGATTTAAAAAAAAAAAAAAAAAAAAAAAGATATGTTGTCACCAAATATGAGATGCTCTGTAAAAAAAAAAAAAATTTATGCTGCATTATTAGGGATCTAAGACAATTAGGTTTGCTGATAGTATTCCAGTTTGGTTGCATGGTTGTGCAAGGGGGGGGCATTGAAACTTGAAGAGGAAATGAAAGGGTTTGCTGTCTGCTCCACTGCATGTCTAAAATATTCTCAAAAGCTTATGATTTATATTTAAATCGATATCAAGATTTGTAGTAAGTTTTACGTTTTTATTTCAAATGTTTTTTTTTAGGCACTGATGTATTTGAAAATGTGTTTTATTATTAAATATTCATCTAAAGGTGGCTTTAAATTAAAGGTTGTTAAAACAGCCATTAAAAACTGGCTTTCGGTTACTATTGAGGAATTTACCTATGAAATTTATTTTTGGCTTTACTAAGGGCCTTTCTTGAAGGTATTGTGGAGGATTTTCTTGAATTTTTGAAAAGACCCGCCCTCTCCACTTTAAAAAAATGCACATGCACAATCCTGCAGCCGCTCCTGAGAGGGAACGCCTGGTAAACGCATGCAGGAGCGTGCATCAGCCCATTTCTCCTCGTGCACGCTCTGTTTAAAAGTTGCTGTTTGCAACTCTCATACAAACTTACTTTCCAAAAGAAGATTAGCAATTTTAGCACCGTCAGACTCACCACCAGTAACTGAAAATGTAGACGAACACGTAGGGCGGCCCTATGGAAACCAGAATCACCAGAATGATTGACAATTAAGAGGACCGCTTATTTTGATGATCCACCTGGAGAAAGAACATCCTCCATTATACCTTTAAGAGTTCAACCATTACACCATTAAGACTCAGTTCTTGACTACAGTGTAAGAAAAATAATAAATTACCTGCCACATGTATTTCTTTACATTTTTCACAGACAGTTAAATCATCACCATCTTAAAAATTAAATTCAAGTCTGTAAGCAATATACAAACCAGCAAGGCTATCTATTTACAACAGACAATGTGACCTATCATTTTTTTGTAGTGGATTCAATTAAACGATACTTTGACAAAGTGACAGAATAAATGCAAATCAATCAATTTTTAAATGACTAGCCTTTGCAAAAGAAACCTAACTTGTGAAACTATAAATATATATATATAAAAGGTTGATACCCCTTGTTAAATGAAGGAAAAAAGAAAAAAAAAAACACAATGGTCACTTAAAATAACTTGAATCTGAGAGAAATAAATCAAAATTCTATGAAAAATGAAAGTCAGGAGCTGCTTTTTGACCATGCTTCAACAGAGGGAAAAAATACAACAAACCAATGAAACAGGCCTGGAGAAAATGATGGTACACTTAACATTTCGCACGACCTTTTGAGTCAGTCGATGAAATCAAACAGTTCCTGTAGCTGTCAATAAAATGTCTGCTCCTCTCAGCAGGGATTTTTAACCCTCATGAGCAAACTGCTCCAGTTGTCTCCAGTTTGAAGGGTCCCTATCCTAGACACCATGTTTCAGCTCCTTCCAATGATGCTCAACAGGATTTATGTCAGGGTCATAATAAAGCACTTCAGAATAGCCCATTGTTTTCCTCTCTTGGGACATTATCCTGTTAAAAGACCAATGACCTGCGACTGAGACCAAGCTTCTGACACTGAGCAGCCCACTTCTCTCTAGAATCCCTTGATAATCTTTAGATTTCATTTTACCCTGCAGATTATCAAGACACCCTGTGCCAAATGAAGCAAAGCAGCCCCAGAGAATAACAGAGCCTCTTCCGTGTTTCACAGTAGGGACAGTCTTCTTTTCTTGATAAGTTTAATTTTTCCATCAGTGAACATAGAGCTCTCATCTGTCCATGGAACAATCCATGTCACCAAGCCCTATATATATATATATATATATATAGCACCACTGACTGATTAGAAGATTGAAGACACCTGTGTTGCCAATTAGTGGAAACACCTAGATTTAAAATGTCCCTTTGGTCATAAGAATTGTTCGTACCAAAAACGTATTTCTTATAATACAAAATAAAAAAATAGAATGTAGGTGAAGTGAGCCTGGGTTTCTGCACACGTCTGTACAGTCGGTGGCGGTATGCACCTTAAAGTTGGTTGCAATTCACCATAATAGAAAAGAAGAAATTTGTTCCTAAATCCTTTGTATGAGTGATTTAGGAGAAAATATCGCAATCACCATTTTTCTCTGATTTCTAATCTCCCAGCTACCAACAAATTTACCTACGAAAGCTCCGTACTTAGAGTAGGAGTCCTGTGCAATCAGTCAGCTGTTATCCAAATCAAATTTTTCCTTAAATTACTATATTTGTTTTACCTAGAACCAATTTTAGTAAGCTACATCATTATATTAATATGCAACTGTGCAATTATAAATGAAATTTTTATTCACTGATAACAGATTAGTTATTACACTTGCAGCAGGGATGTTGGGGAGCATTTTTCTTTTTTTTGAACTTCATCTGTATTATAATTTTTCTTTTTTTACTTTTGTAACAGTGCAACCACATCATTTACAGTTCTTCACCGCCTGTCTTTTTCTGGTCCTTTAATTCTGCTGCCTTATTGTCCAGCCTTATATAGAATTATATGGGTGGTGATTATGTAAATCACACAGGTGGACTGCATCACATTCATGAGGATCATTTACTGAAGTTACTAACGTTTGTTGAATCTGATGTGGCGTGTTTGTAAGGGCTTAGGGTAGGAGAAAAAATAAGAAATGTATGACAAGAATACGAAAATGTTGTTGCATTAGGCTGAATATATTCATCCTAGGGTACCATAATTTTTGTCTTAGCCTGTTTTATGGGTTTATTTTATTTTCTTTTATCATTCTGTTGAAACATGGTTAAAAATTAATGTCTGACCTTCATTTATCTATTTTTTTTTTATAAAATTATCATTATTACTTTAGTCAGATTCAAGCTATTCCCATGACAATTATGTTTTTTTCTTTCCTTAAACCAGGGCCACCAACAATTTTGTCCACCAGGTGCGTCAGTAGCAAAGCAAAGGCAAAAAGAAACACTTTACAGTGAAGGAGAACTCTTGAAAAAGCAGAGCTGCCCTTCTACAACAAATTAAATAAAAAATGTGAAAAATAGATAGAAAAACATCACTGAAAGATCATCAAATAACAGCATGGTTGTAGAAACACCAAATAGCAAAAATGTTCAACCTAACAGCATGGCAGCTGGGAGGATCTTTGATAGTGTTCCTTTGTGCACCGAGGGATGTAGTAGTCTGTAGCAGTCACTGAAGGATCTCTCCAATTCTGCGGCAGCTTTTGGGCGTGGTCCTTTGTTCCTGGTCCTGATTGGCTGAAGATGACCAGCTCTTAGATCCAGGCTCACCACCAATGAAGATCAAGATCTTTGTCACGCTGCAAATAACCTCCCTGCAGACATCCCTGATGGAAGGACTCAAAACAGTTTTAACAGAGAAATAAATTATATAGTCATTTGGTCTTCTTTACTCCCTACAAAAGAAAGGAAAAGGCTATTAGTGTTTCTAAAACAAAAATAAACATGTTTGACCTGTGAAAGGAAATACACATACTTTAACTGGCGCTCCAGAAGTAGAATTTCTAGGTCTGCTTTCCTGATTTGGCGGTCCAGATACAGCATTTCTTTATCCGTTTTCTCAATGGTCTTAAGGAGATGGTGCCTGTATAACTCATTTACTGGTAACTGGGAAAACAAATCGTAATTTTCAGCACCTTTAAAGATAAGTTTAAAAGTGGTGTTTAGAAGAAAAAAAAAAACCCTACTTTGTTAAGCTTTGCTGTGGAGCTGGAAGGAACCTCATTCTGGTGGCGATCAGCTGTTCTCTGTCAGAGAAAAACAAAGTTTCAAAAAACAAAATATGTAGACAAGTGGAGAGTTAATGGCAGCAAGTAGACAGAATGCTCATATCTACTTCAGGGGGAACCTCTGCCTCCTTTTTGGTGCTGCAACTTGACTGAGCATCCTCCTCCTGTGGCGTAAAAGGGGAAATCATGATTCAGTAACGATCTAACAGCTTCACTAAGCAGCAAAAGCAGAGTACTTACAGCTGTAGCTGTGGCTGGAGGCTCCACGATGTAAAAAACGTCCTCTGTAACTATGAGAAGGAGAAAGGTCGGTTACTAACACGCATGAACAGCTACATGTGCCTGCATATGACGTTAGGTACCTGTGTTCTGATTGGGGCCCGGTTCAGGTGAGTTGTGTCCAGAGAGGCCTTCAGAACCCATTGTGGGCGAGTTCTGGCAGATGGCCAGCCCCTCATCCTCTGTCAGGGGCGGTATCAGTAGCTCGCCGTCGATCTTATAAGCCTCGAACCGTTTTCTGTTGACTGGGTGTGAATCCAGATTATTCTTCTATTTATTTTGATTGAACTCCTAAAATGTATGACTCCAACATATTTATGACCTTAGATTTCTTTTTGATGTGGTCACGTGCTAAACCTGAAGTTATGGGGCATTACAGTGGTATTCACACTCATTTTCAGAATCATACCACAAAATTAGGGCTGGGCAATTTATTGCATGTGATCACATTTGCAATATAATCGCAATTTAACAAAGGCACACATATTTAATCACACTATAAATAACAAGAGTAAGACACTAAATTTCTCCCTCCAGCCCTTTAGGTGGTGATTAAATACCTGAAGTGGGTTTGTCACCGCACAGAACGATAGAAAAAGTTGCAGCTAACACGCAGATCCATGTATGGAAGTAGAAGTACCAGTAAATACTTTTTACCACAATGTTAAAAGTAAAGTCCTGTAAATATGGACTCTGGATAAGCAAAATTTCAAAAAGTGAAAGCCTGGGGTTGAAACAGCTTCAAGTTTGGGGTCAGTGCAAAGGAAAATCGAAATAAAATTGCGATCGCAATTTTGATTACAAATTATCAAAATTTAGATTTTCGGTAAAATGGTTCAGCCTTCCACAAAATGTCAGTGGATTTTATATAAAACACTGACACAAAGAAGTGCATGATTATGAGGAGGAAGGAAAATGATATATGGTTTGGATTATCCTTTACAAATAATAAAGCGGCTTAAATTCAGATAATGAAATATTTCCAGATTTGTTTTTTCCCACTAAATGATGAAGATGGAAGAAGTCTAAGACCATGTCCAACCATGACTTGATACACACTGAGTCAGACAGACAAAAAAAAAATAAAATTGATGGGTGCTGAGAAAAATAAATGCACACCACACATTTCAGATTTCCAGTTTGTACTAAAATATACTTTACAGGGGGCAGTTCTAGACAGGGGCCCACAGGAGCCAGTGCCCCTGTGTCCTGACCCAAGTTACGGCCCCTGTACTAAATACAGGTTACAAGAAATACAAGATTAATTTTCATCTTCCTGATCAAGTCTGACTCCTGCAGTTCCAGGGCCATAAAGGTGCGTTCACACCAAACACGTTCTGGTCGTCAAAAACATTTAAAACGTCGAACTTTAGACACTGAGTCAAATGCTGGTCAAGATGCTTTCACCGTTCGAAGCCCTGGATTTTCTGCATGCTTGTTCTTTATCAGCTCTGTTCTCTCGGTGCAGTCTAGAGAACAGCTCGGCTTTATTTGCTTTGAGGCATTGAAACAAAATATCTTAATACATTTTTAAACGAGAAAGTGCACCTCAACACTTCATCTGTGCAGTCAGTTCATCAGCATTAGGATCAAATTTGTTCTTTATGTGCTGGGACTCCCCAGTGAAAGCTTCCCGTTGCTATTCATAGGCTGAAATATAAAGTAGTTTTTTTCAAGTTTTTGGTAAAAACTACAAGAGCTAGATTATTAAATCAAATATTTTTTGCCAGCAGGTTTTAACATTTTCAGGTGTATTTAGACACTGTTTTGCCACAGTGCCGTAAGGAAATAAGTAATAATAATGATCAGAGCTTGCTCTCTTTTTTTGCATTACAATCCATTCTTCTGGCTTTTTAAAACCTGTGGAGTTTAACCCCTTTATATTTATTTTTCACCCACAGACAGCTTTGCAGAAGCGATCGCAGTTTGCATGTTGGGTCTGTATAACAGAAAAACTCCTGGAATAGCTTTTGTGATTGGTTGACGCTCTGCGTCAAGCTGCAAAAGGACACATTCCTGAACTCCAGCGTTGAATGCTGGGATGCCAGTATGCTCAGACGCTCAAACCCACTTCAGGGTCTGTCGACGCTGCTTGATGCTGTCCATCATAGATTTTGCATATAATTCAGATCCTTGGAAGTCCCCAACACGTTTGGTGTTAATGTACCGTTAGTAACTCTTTGGCTCACTTACTATATAAAATAGTAAACTATTTTCCCATTAAAATATTTTCATTTTGTGTCCCCATAAATATCAATCCATCCATCCATCTTTGCTTAATCCCAACTGAGGTCGCGAGGGGTGCTGGTGTCTATCTCCAGCTGTATACGGGCGAGAGGCAGGGTACACCCTGGACAGGTCACCAGTTCATCGCAGGGCAACACAGAGGCAAACACACCTAATCACACCTAAGAATTTAGAGAAGCCAATTAACCCAAATTAATCTAACAGTCATGTTTTTGGACTGTGGGAGGAAGCTGGAGTACCTGGAGAGAACCCACACATGCTCAGGGAGAACGTGCAAACTCCATGCAGAAAAGACCCCGGCCGGGAATCGAACCCACAACCTTCCTGCTGCAAAACAGCAGTGCCCCACCCCTTCCCAGTGTAAAAAATACCCTTTTCCTCTTGATAAATTGGTTCTAGAACTCCAGTGAACATATTGTTTTATGATTGGGAGTGGAGGAAAGGTTCAACAGAAATTAATACTTCTGCCTGTTTGGAATCTAAATTAATCAATACAATCTTGAATTAAATACTTCATTAATAATAACTATATGCATATGTCTTACCTTTCTTAATCATATTTTTATACTTCGTTTTCAGTTGCATCCAAGTCCGTTTTTCTCCAGATGAATTACACCTAAATGAAAACTGCAGTTTTATTTTCCTCCCTTTTATCTGCTGTCAAATAAAGATCAAAGGACAATGCTGCGTTCAAACTCACGCATTGACTCGGGCAGCGATGTGCTTCCATGCAGCCTGTCTGGCTTTAGCGTCTACTGCTTTGTTGCTCTTCTTCCGAAATATATGAGCATGCTCCTCATAAAGTTGAAGGAGGAGCCGCAGCTCCAGAGGAGTGAAGTAGCTGGATCTCTTTTTGGAGAGGTTGCCGTGAGCATCAGCAGGTTGAGCCGCTGCAGCGCTGCTACCAGCGATCACCTCCGGATCAACCAACTCCGAGTCCATGGAGCTCATTGCGATCAGCTGTCCTGGATACCCGGAGTTTTCCCTCTTTGGGAACTTAACTCGGAATTTACAGATTGACCCAGAGTTTGTTTACCACAACCTCCCTTCAGGAATACTCCTCTTGTCCTTAAGAATTAACGTAAAACCCACGTGCGTCATCTTTACGTTCTCACCGTCATAGATATAAACAACTAGACGCTGCAGGAAAGAAAGGGGGATTATAGGGAGAAAATTAGCATTCTAAACATCTGAATGGGATTAAGAAAGGAATATTATTGAACAAAATTATTTAAAGAATAACGTTAACTTTAACCTTCAATCGTAGCTTATATGGTTTAATTCATATATAAGATTATTTAGATACTAGACAATCTACTTTTTAGGTATTAATAATAAAAGCAAAAATTATAAAAATCAGACTAAAACTAAATTATTAAGTTTTACTAGCCAACCCTTTTAGGAATACTCTTGTTTAGAACAATGAGGTAGTAAAATGATTTATCAGGTGTGATAATTGCAAAAGTATCCACACCTCTTGAACTTTTTGATTAGCCTACATTTATAAATTGAATTCATCCAATAAATCAGAGGGGTCAGAATAAAGAAGATCATCAACCAGTAATGGTCCCGAGACACTTTAAAAAAAATTATAATCTGTTACTTTAAACAGAACTTAAAAAGTAGGTTTTTGTGCATCCATGTTATACACTGAATTAAAAAAAATAATAATAATAATTTTATTTTTCCATTTTAAGTAGAAAACAATCGTTCAGTTCGGTATAGAGACAATTTCCTGATTCACCTATTTTATAAAACACTTGAACTGACTGTTTTTTCTTTTTTTTTTTCTTTCCTTTTTCTGTCTTAATGAGAGCAGTGGCCTTTATGCTGCCCTGCAAGGCTTTTAAACCTGGGTTTGAATGGAGACAAAGCCATTCTCAAGCACATATCAAGGTTTTCATTTTGAGCCTGGATCGATATTTATTTTTTATTTTATTCATAGTGGGGCATCCTGCTTCACAGCAGTAGGTTAAGCAGAACATAATCAAAAGGTGCAGGGTCATCTTTGAGCACACACTTTTCTTTCACTAGTTCACCTTAGTTCTTCCAGCAGTCCACACTTTCTCTGCTTTCTTTTTCTCATCGTCTTCTCCTTCTTTCCCACTGCCTGGCTTGCCAGAGGTTTGCCTGCTGTATCTAAGGCTACGTTCACACCGCAGCCTGAAGTGACCCAAATCTGAATTTTTTTTAGCCCATATGTGACCTGGATCTGATTTTTTCATGGCAGTCTGAACAACACAGATCTGATTTTTTTTTCCAATGCCACCCATGCCACTTGGCTGTGTGGTTCTTAATCCGATACGAATCTGATCTTTTCAAATGCAACCTGTGTCTCAATGGCCAGGTCCCATTCATCTGACCTGAATGTCATTAATACTGCACAAAGGTCACTATTCTGCATCTTGCTATGAAGAAGCGGCAGGAAAAAAAACAGCTATGGCAGACATTGATCCGGAGAGCAGTATTTAATTTTAACCAGCTTATTGGCCAATTTGTATCACATGCAGCCTGGTGCCGGACGCTCTGGAGGGCTTTACCATATCAACAGGAGAAGCGGCGCAAGTGAAGTTAGACAATGTTGTTGGACAACATGCGGTAATTTCTAAATGTTTTAAATCAGGTTGGGTCCAGATTAGCCAGCAGGTGGGTCCGGATCCAGACCCTGGTCTTCTAATCCAGGACCTCTGCAATAGACTAATATAGTAGAGTGCATATAGTGATTTAAATAGAAGTTAAATAATGAAAGTATGGTTTAAAAAAAATGTTTTTCAAACAAACAGAAAAACAGAAAAGTAAAACCAACTATTAGTGTCAGTTTGGCACACCAGACTCCATTCATCTCATCAAGTCATCATGTTCAGATTGCACTCAGTTGATGAGATGAATGGAGTCTGGTGTGCAACTGCTTGGTTGGATAGGAAACCTGCAGCCACACGGCCCTTTCTGGAACCGGTTTGAGACCCCTGAATGATGGAACTAATGAGAACACCAAAATGCAGAAGAGACTGTTTGTGGCATTAAAACACTTAAAACTGTCATATAAACACAAACTTTACTCAGCTATATCTTTTCTGCATTGTGTGATGTGGATTGAAGAAAACAATTGCTGTGCCCATTTATTGAGATTCTATTCATGATATTACTATCCTAATAAGCAAAAAACACTTTTAATAACATGTTATGTTTGTTTACATTTTGCCAAGTTACAACCACAAACTTATATGGATTTTATTGGGATAATATGTCAATATAAACTTAAACATACCGTAATAAAATAGTGAAAAGATTTTTTTTTAACATTTCTTATACATAAAATTAAAGAGTGCTTTTCTATTTTCAGCCCACCACTTTACTTTCATATTCCTTAATGAAATGCAATCTCCTTATTACCACAAAGGGTCTACCTGGGTATAAGTTAATCTCTGCAAATACAGTGGTTCAGTCCAGCCTCTGGAAGCCTATTTTATAGTTAATAAATGAATGTGATGAATATGTATGCATTCAAAATCTTTCCAAAATGTTTATTATTAAAAATAAAACGACATTAAAAGTAAAATAATTATCCATCAGCTTAAAAAAACGGATGTAACATCGTTTGGGCTTTTCCACATAATGCCACTTACAATATGGCGGCGACGTCGACGTATGATACAGACCCCTTGCTACATCTATTTCTGTATGTCTATGCTCAGCATGACGTAGGTCGCCTACTGGTAGTAACAGAAAAAGGAGAAGTTAACCTGGTCCGTCGTCTCTATTTGTCTTAATAATTTATAAAATCCGAGTTTCTTTTAGAAATATGTTTTTATTTTTAATATACTCTCGGTTATGATTTAAATAAAAAACAGACATGTTGGTTTATTCGCCGTCCGGCCGCGAAAATGTTCTGCTTTTGAAACTGACCCAAGGATAAGAATGCCTTTGTTGCTATGCTAACTAGCTTAGCTTAGCCTAGCTTCAGGATGGACAGCTGAGAGCTAACAGGAGGAGAAGGAGCTACATGTCCTGTGAATGAATCTTCGAAGCACCGTCTCCTGGGCGTCGAGGGAGTTTTGTTGGCGCCTTTTGCTACCTCCTAAACCGAAAAGACAATGAAGAACTGCGAGTACCAGCAGATAGACCCCCGGGCTCTGTCAGTTTCCCCGCAGTCGGCTCAGAACCACGCCGATAAGAAGCTGCAGCGTCCGCGGAGAAAATGGCAGGTGTTCCCGGGAAAGAACAGGTTTTTCTGCGACGGTCGCCTCATCCTGGCCAGACAGAACGGCATCCTTCCTCTAACGCTGGGCCTTATTATTGTCACCAGTGGCCTTTTCTTTGCTTTCGAGTGAGTCACATTCAGACCGACCTGCGGGCCTTACATATATGTCTATATTGATGTAATTACCTTATAAATATGTTTTTTGTGTTTTTCTATTCTTTTCAACAGTTGCCCCTTCCTGGTGACGCATCTGACCGTCTTTATACCTGTGATAGGAGGGGTGCTATTCATGTTTGTGGTCGCCTCCCTGCTGAGAACCAGCTTCACAGATCCAGGCATTTTACCCAGGGCCACTGCAGATGAAGCTGCAGACATAGAAAGGCAGATAGGTAAGAGCACAGCTTGAACACAGCAGGGCAGATGGAGTACAAGAGCTTTGCCATATGGAGGACATGTTTGTTGTGGAAACGCAGACCCAAACCTAAGCAGCTTACTGTGCTATGTCATGTTGAGGAGGGATCTGATCATTCTTTAGATTCTTGGATTAAGTATTTTATTCAAACACAGTCCTCTTTGTGCATCTTTGTTCTTAGATACCTCAGGATCCTCAACATATCGCCCCCCTCCTCGAACCAAGGAGATCCTCATCAACCAGCAGGTGGTGAAGCTAAAGTACTGCTTCACCTGTAAGATGTTCCGGCCTCCCCGGACCTCCCACTGCAGTCTCTGTGACAACTGTGTTGGTGAGGATATTTCTGAAGTATTCACACTTATTTTTTTATTTTATTTTTCTTTGAATAACTCACTCGCATGTGCCTTAAAGTTTAGTATTGTCCTAATATTTTGTGTGAATTGAATCACAGTTATATCACTCATCATATCTCTCTTGTTCACATCACCTCTTAATTGTTTCTAATTTCCCAAAAAGGGAAGTGGTGTTTAAGTCACTTCCCAAACAGTGGAGGGGAATTTCGGTTATAAATTTCAGAGACATATTTTTTTGCTGACCAAGTAACAGGAAGTTAATTTCTCGAAGTTGTGATTTTAACAAAATTGTAAAATAAAAAAAACCTTTTCTCCATAAACAGGACCACAATGAAAGGCTCTTTCTATAACTGAGAGATTGGCGTGTGCACCGATTACAGGTTTCTGGATGATCGCAGATTCCCGATCTTTAAAAGCCTGACATGCTGATTCGGATTTTGACAGATACAGATAAGAGCATGCAATATTTCAATCTAATCTTACTGGAAAAAAACAATCACTGCACGCAGTATAATAAAAACTTATAGAATAACTGTTCTCAAACATAAGTTCAAGTTTAAGGCATTGACAGTGCATGGTTTTTAAGACCTTTCCATAGGTTAATTAGACTGGTGGAAAAGATTGGTTTATATCTAAGTATTGACCGATAAATCGTTGCAACCCTAGAGAGAATATCAATTCTACTCCTATATGATCAGATTATGGGAGCATCCATCCATCCGTTTTCTTTCACTTTATATGGGGCTGGGTCATGGAGGCAGCAGTCTAAGCAGAGATGCCCAGACTTTCCAATCTACACACACTTCCTCCAGCTGCTCTAGGGGGACCCTGAGGCAAAACCAGGCCAGCTTAGAGACATAGTCCCTCCAACATGTCCTAGGCCTTCCACGTTCGGTAAATGACGTCGGTCTTTACCCAGATCTCATGACTGAGGGTCGGAACATAGATCAATCGGTAAATCAAGAGCTTTGCCCCCCGACTCGGCTCCCTCTTCACCACGACAGTCCTATACAACGACTGGTTCACTACCGACGCCGACCCCCATCCATCTTATCGATCTCACACTTCATCCGTCCCTCACTCATGAACAAGACCCGAGATACTTGAACTCCTCCATTTGAGACAAAGACTCTCCACCGACCTGAAGAGGGTAGTCCACCTTTCTCTGGTGGAGAACCATGGCCTCGGGTTTGGATGTGCTGATCCTCATCACAGCCGGCCCACTCTCGGCTGCAAACCGCCCCTGTGCACGCCAAATGTGCCTGTTTGATGAGGCCACAGGACAATGTCATCTGCAAACAGCTCTATTATGTGACCAATGTCATCTATATTTCCATTTCTTTATTTATGTCGCACTTCATATCAGATGCTAAACGCATTCGGTCGGCTAGATCAATGCATTTCTTAAATACTTTGAAGGAAAAAGTTTTGTTTTACTCCTTTGTGCCAGATTTCCTTCTACTTATGATAACTGTCCACTAATTCTTTCCATTGGGACCAAAGGGGAGGCTGCACAATAATGTATGTGAGGTATGATGAATCCTTGGGAAGCCACCTTCCTGAAAAATGTTCATCCTCACTGTTGCATGTTGCTCCTTAAGTGAAATGATGGTTCAGTTGGCTTGTTTCTGAAGAAAACTGTTTCCTTTTTAGGAGCTCATTCCAGATTTTGTGTGACTTCTTTAACACCTTACTGAATGCAAGCAATTAGTAATACAAATATATGTATTTATAAAAATAACACTTATTGATTTAAGAAAAAGGTATTTCTGACATATTCTTCTCCATCAGAGCGATTTGATCACCACTGCCCGTGGGTGGGGAACTGTGTCGGCAAACGCAACTACCGCTACTTCTACAGCTTCATCATCTCTCTGTCTTTCCTGACGTCTTTTATATTTGGCTGCGTCATCACACACATCACTCTTCGTAAGTAGTTTCACCTTTTTAAAAAGGAAGGAAGTGTATCATTTATCAAGCCGTTTTATTAAAACATGTTTCTTGATAAGTTCTGGTTTTTCTTCACAGGTTCTCAGGCAGGGAAAAATATTGTGCAAGCCATTCAGGAGAGTCCAGCAAGATATCCTTTTTATTTAGACAAATCCATGCGGCTCCTCAAGCTGCTCTCTTGCCTTCTAAGAACAGCGTCCATCCAGCTGAGAGTGCTGTTAGATGACCATTGGGAATACTTGGGTGCTTAGAAATACTAAATTTATGAAAATTAAGGTAAAGTAAAGTAAATCTAAGAAATTCTTAGAAATACCTCCCCCAAATTATCAATGAAAGCAATAAGTACAAACGGGTCACCATGACTTTGACTATGCTTAGACTTTGAAAAAACATTTATTGTCATTTGTACACACAGAGTGTATACAAAATGTAATTTGTTCAGTACAGCAGCTCTGAAGACAATGCCATTTCTAAAGTGCACCAGCGATCAAATGTAAACATGGTGATCAAATGTAAACATAAGATTGGTATATGATTTACAATTTTTCCAACATCCAGCGCTTTTTTCCCCATTTATTCAAAATTTAGCAGTCTAATGGCATTGAGGAAGAAGCTATTCTGGAATCTGCTGGACCTGCATCGGATGTTTTGCAGCCTCTTCCTAGAGGGCAGCAGGGAGAACAGTCCATGGTAGAGATTTGGGGGTATGCGTGGGGTAATCACTATTGTGCACCACTATTGGCAGTCGTGCTTCTGTTAACAGCTAGCTTGTTAGTTATTTGGACCGGTAACCTTTTAAAATTTACATTTCAATACACAACCCCATTTCATTTCTAATACAAGCACATCTAAATAAACTCGCCACCCCGCCATCCTATGCCGGTGTTGTGCCAAGGTAGTTATCTCTGCGACAATTTGTGTCCCCTCACCGGGAGCATGCAGGGACTAGGAACCGATCGAGTTCACTCTGCCTCAATTCCACTACGCCGGAGAACTTGGAGCCCTGCAGTTCCAAACAAGAGGATTTTATACAAACTTCTCACTCACCTGTTACTATGATGTTTGATATTTCTTGTGATGCTGTTGCTTGTGCAACCTGAGAGTAATACTGCAGCTACACAAACTCAGGGGAGCCAAAAATTTACCTGTATTAAGAAAGGAAAATAAAATCGCCTGCAACAAAACATTTAAATTAATTAATTGAATCATTTTTTTTTTTTTTTAAATGTATTTTAAAATCTACTTCCTATCCTATGTGTTTGAATGACATCTTTGATGTTATGCCTTGACTCTTCCTGTTGCACTGTGGTGGAATTGGTGATTTGTTTTTTCTCCATCTGGTCTATTTTGGGCCTCTCAGGCTTCCACACCTACTTAGTAGCCTCCAATCTCACCACAAATGAAGATGTGAGTATGAAATGTATAACATGACAGGGTGGGGTAGTGATGAATCTGATCTGACTGCTGATTGGTTTGTGCTGACAGATCAAAGGGTCCTGGTCTAGTAAACGAGGTGCAGAGGAGTCTGGAAACCCCTACAGTTATAACAACATTATAACCAACTGCTGTGTTACATTATGTGGCCCTATGCCTCCAAGGTGAGTCATGATCTCTCACACTTTGTTAATCCTCAACATAACATCAAAGCCGCATCATCGTCTTGCTTTGTTTCCAGCCTGATTGATCGAAGAGGGTTCCTTCCTCCTGATGAGGTGATCTCTGTCGCTGCAGCCTCAGAGGTTGAACTGCCTCCCTTCATACCCAAGAGCGAAGCGAACATGGTATGATGAAACGGCTTATGGTCCCTCCCAAGTCCCGAGTGCCCCATAATGCTGTGTGGTTGTTAGCCCCTCCCACTCTGTGCCTTTCCCATCCTGTGTGCCCCCCCCTCCAGCATCCAGATATCCGGCTTCAATCCTTCGATTATAAAGTCAACCATCCGCACTTCCATTTCTGTTAGGATTATGATGGACTTTGCACAATGTTTGTTTTTCTATAATTAATGAAATAATTGTATCAGAGCTCAGTTTAAATGCAGAAGCATGAGGTCAAGTCGTCAGAGTGGAGGTGATTTGGTTACTGGAGCAGAAAAGTTTGAGTTGAACCTTTATTCTATCAAGATCAGAGTGAACGGACGGGTTTACAGGCTGCAGTAAACATGTAGACTGGAAAGTAAACGCCTTCATTCTTTATTTCTGTTATTATTTATTTGTTTTTAAGCCGTTGCCATGCTCCATGTTATTTAACTACTGACTGTTAATGCGGTGATAGTTTATGAACGGCAGTGTTCTATCGCCAGTTTTTATTAGCCGGGTTTCAAGTGGATATCTGTTGATTTATCAGCACTTTATTAACATCCATTTCACGTATGCCTTGTGTACATTTGTTTCGAGTATTTTCACCATAACAATATTTCTTCATTGCTGTCTGATGCTTTATTATCATGATGTTTATCTAAAGGAGTTCTTTTATTTGTTTAATAAATGTTATTTTTGTATTTTGAGTTTTGATCTGTTTGCCATTTTAGTCTTTTAATTTTTTTAATTTTTTATTGTAGTTAAAGGTTTTTTAATTGCAGGCATGTTTTCAACATTTTAATCAGGAGTCCTGCAGATTCAGATACACATTTGACTTAAAAGTAATGATGAAAAGTAAGTACACCCCAGTTAAATTAAATCTTTAACAATCTGAGCCTCATGGGTCCCTCTTACGATAAATGCACCCATCACTTTGAAATAGGGTAAATCTGGAATCATCAAACACCTTCCAGTCCTCTTGAGTCCAGTATTGATGCTCCCTGGTAAACTGGTTTACTGAGTGCGGAAATGCTCCTACTTTAACTAGTAAAGATGCTCAATATGTATACATCTACATCTGTATAGACTGGAAATAAATCTGCATTCAAACTGCTTTTAAAACACGCTGAACCTGAATGCTATGTTTATCTTTAAGAAAAAAATAGGAATGTTTAAAAGCATCAGATCAATGTGTATTTCATGCAGATGAGTGTATTTAAACATCTGACAAAAAACATTCATTTTTGGGGGAGTGTAATATTTTTTATAATCTTTTCCATCCTGGTTTCATCTTTGTTTTATAGTATGTTGACTATATAGCTGAGTAGTTTTCTACACAAGCTGTCAAAAAACCATTTAAGCTTTGTATTAGCAAGGGGTGTACATACTTTTTTTTTTTTTTACCATGACTGTAAATGGGAGACATGAAAACGTTTTACTTTGTGCTGTGTCCGTTCCCACCCTGCCAGGAGGAGAACTGTCAGGAGTTTTCTCTGTCCTGCACAGCCTGAAGGGCAGTGCTGCAGGTAGACTGTTGATGGTAAGAATAGGGCTCAACGTTGAACCGATCCCAACATCTCATCACTTTCCATTCACTGTGTTGCATTGTTTTAACAGCCTCCAATTTTGCACTACTTGTCAACATTTCACTGTGCCAGATGCAGATTCTGTGTTTGATGATGGTGTGGCTCGATCATGATGGTCTATATGTGGGTTTGCATGCCTCATCACAGCCAACCCAGTCTCCTCTCTTTAACCTTTTGCTCACTCAGTGCAGGATCAGGCTGGCTGATTAGGGCTGACAATCGTGTTGAATGGCGCTTGCTTTGGTGCATGCACAACCACACTTGAAGCGCCAGTTAAATCAGTTGATAAACACAAACCATATCCCAAAGTCAGTATTCTATACTGCAACTACAACTTCAATCTCTATATAACTATTAAAACATTTTTCTTTCCAGTTGATTCACTGAACAACCATATTTGTTTCTAATATGTGAACCAAAGACTCATTAGTGCATCTAAAAAGAGCCAGTCTCCCTGTTTTTCCGGGCCTAAAGCTTTTTCCCAGCAAAACATGGATCCAGATCACTTTCCTCAACGAGGCTCATGATGCTGTTTTTCTTGAGGATTAGAAGGTTTCAGCCTCCAGCATTGTTTGGATTTTCAGACTTGTGTGTTATAAAGGGATAATTTCCTCTAACCCCTTAGATATTATCCCTTTACGATCAGGGTCTCAGCAAGATAAAGAATAAAAACTATTACAACCAATATTTCTTTCTCTTACAGCTAGTGACAGCCCACAATCCAAATTTATCAAAGTAAATTTTACATAGCAGTAGTTCAGTAGCTTTTAAAACAGAAAAACTTTTATCTTTTAAACAATCGAAAGGAAGGCTGCTGTTCTGATAGTCCAGCCAACATGGGGGTTTAACAACACAAAAAGCTGGTTTCTTATCAAAGTTTATTAATGGGAAGTTAGGTAGAGGGAGAAAAAAAACAAGGATTAAGATTTAACCAGAGCTATAGGCAGAGCCCATTGAAGGGTTTCAACGAGGTCTATAAGGATTGTGTTGCTGCGACCCCAACCAGAGCTGACATGATGTTAAAGAGGCAAAGGACAGTTTCTCAGTGGTTCAAAGTCCTGTCCTTAGACCGAAGTAAAGTTAACATTTTGCTTAGAAAGAAATGATTCTGGAGGAAGAGTGAAGAGGCCTAGAATTCATATTGTCCAATGTCTGAACTTGGCTCCACAGTGGAGCAGTGGGTAGCATTGCTGCATGTAGGAATAAGGTTCCAGGTTTGATTCTCGATCCGGGTTCTTTCTGCATGTAGTTTGCATGTTCTCCCTGTGCATGCGGGGGTTCTCTTCAGGTACTCAGGCTTCCTCTCACTGTCCAAAAACATGACTGTTTGGTTAACTGGCTTTTCTAAATTGTCCTTAGTGTGTGCATGAATGGTTGTTTGTCCTCTTTGTCTCTGTGTTGTCCTGCGATGGACTGGCAACCTTTCCAAGGTGTACCCCGCCTCTTGCCCCTAGACGGCTGGAGATGGGCACCAGCAGCCCTCGTGACCACAACAGGGATAAGCATGACAGAAAATGGATAGATGGATGATGTCTAACCTGAAGCTCCCAAAGTCAGTGATCCATGGAGCCGTTGCTATTGCTGCTCTTGGTTCAGTCCCAAAATCTCTGTGCCTGCTTGGGTAGCAAACTGACCTGTGAAGTATCATCAAGAGGAAGCTCCATAGCTCGGTGGGCTCCATGCAGTGCTTGGTAAAGACTGATGTTAGGTAAAAAGTGCCTAAATCAGGAATAATAATCTAATACCTCAAGTTATTTTTGGTTATTTGTGAAGGTTTTACATTATTAATGCTTGAATTCCTGCAGTGCAGATGTTTATACACCATGTATAGTTTACCTGGCTTGCACCAATTTCTAGATTTCTTGAAACATGTGCCTTTAAAAACAGCAGTTTATAATTGAATGTAAAATAAATTCATTTCATGATGCCTCAAAGGATATGTTTACTTTCACTCCATTTGGAGTCACCTCTCCACCAAAAAACAAAAAGTTTTAAAATAAATGTGGATGGCTGATTCCTTTTTTACATAAAAACATGTTTTTTTTATTTATTTATTGTGTGTGGGAAAAAAAAATCAGTTGGCAGCATCTTTCAGATAAAAGGAAAATCAGTCTGTTCCAGCCTGTGGCTAATCTATTAGTACATCTGTAAGCCCAAACCTATCCTTAGATTGACATCTTTAAACATTTGAAAATAAACCAAACACTTTAAATCTAGGTTTTCTTATCAGGATCTTCTAGATTTGTTAAAAACCTTTAAAAACAAATGGGAAAGAAAAAAAATGAAAGAAAAATGTTTTTCTTTTGTATTTTTTTAGATTGAATAAACGGCCTTTAAAATAACTGTCCGACTTCTCTGGGATCGTGGTTTGTGTAACTGCTCCCTCTAATGTAACTCCATGCTTCTGAATCACCTCCTCCTCTCCATCTGCATCTCTTAACCGTCTTACCCTGAGGCCTCTCATTGCTTTCATGTTACAATGACTTTCAGATTTAACCTGCTTTATTTTTACTCTTCACATCGAACCTTTCTTGTTTGAATTTGTTGCTCTTGATTTTCTTTTTCTTTGCTTTTTCTTCATGCAGTGCACTCAGAGCACAAAGGATGCATTGGAGAGGATGCTGCACTCCACCGACCTTCATGGTCTGTGTCCTTCAGGGACCCCAAAGACCACCCCTATGGTTCTAGAGGTCCTCAGCGCTCCAGAGACCAAAGAACTCTCCCTCTCCTCTGGCTGCTCCCATCAGCTCGCGCGCCAGGCTGTGGTTGACCCCTGCCCTCCATTCAGCAAAAACAACAGGAGAGACTCTCTGCACTCCATCAATCCGGCTTTCCGCCTGGCTTCTCCCTCCCCGACGCTTAGCCGCAGCGTGCTGGTCCTGGGTGAAGGACCCGACATCGTTTTTTCTCCCCAGCAGCATTGAGAGCGCTCGGTCACCATCAGAACGGACAGGGAGACATGGTGGAACACGTCTGGTGTTTATTATCAGGCTCTGGATTCGGACATTTTTTCAGAGCAGTGATTGTGATGCATGTTGGAAATTGGTGTCTCAAGACGTCCTTGTGAGGAGATCCGATTAATATCTGTCACTAGTGTCCAGTTGTACAAATCCTTCAAACTGGAGGGGAATCTTAGTAACATTTGAGAGCACAATACAGAATTATTTTTTCACATCTTTTTTAGGACGCTCGTAATGTCCCACCTCTTCTGCAGAACCGCAGAGTTTAAGTTCCTGCTAATATCATATGCAAACAAAGGGTGACATGTGGGCAGACGTTTGATTGTGGTTGTTAAAGTAAGCTGCCCAAAACAAAAAAGTTGGACTTTGTTAAATTTTCTGGATAGTGAGCCATTTTAACACCAATAGCCTCTTGCATTATCCTAAAGTTTTCTGTAATCTACATTGTCCTGTCTATGTTGGATGATGTGGTCGTAGAAGGGCAAGTGTTTTGCACAGGGCAAAGTCACTCTGTTTTTAGTTTTTGTGTTAACATGTTAAAGGTGCTGCTGCAACTGCTTTTTAAAAATCCTTTTATAAGAAAACAAGAGACCGAGTTTCTTCTGAGAGATTCTGCAAACGGTTTGAAAGATTCAAAGTTATTTTTCTCAGATAAAAAAAAGATTTGTGTCCTGCAAAACCTTTATGAGATTCTTAGTTACTTTGGATAAACATTGTAGCAGTTTTGCAACATCCCTTGGAGCTTATTTGAGATCCCAAAGATCCTGAGTTACTTTTTTTCCCCCATCACTTTGGCTCACAATCCTGTAGATATGCAGGATCCTATTATGCTTTCAGCAGACCCAGAATCACATTTGCAGGATCCCTCAAAAGCTTCATAAGACCTTTATTGACTTTACAAAACCCTGCAAAAGTTTTCTACAAGATTTAAAGATGATTTCATGGTATTTTTTAAAAGTTGTTGGGGAACATGAGTTACTTTTATCAGATCCTAGCTGTTATTGTGAGACGCTGCAAAAGCCTTAAAATATTCACATTTATTCCTGTCATGTTTCATAAAAGTTTTTTTTACCGTAGCCTCGAGCTGCAGGTCATAAGTGGCTTCTTTACTAGAAAAACATGATCACCATCTGAAGTGTTGCTATTATTGTATAAAAATGTTTCTTTTTTGAAAGATGCATAACTCAATCTTCAAATGAAGGGATCATGTGTGTAGATGAAAATAACAGATGCCACCTTTGCTGGGCTTTACAAAATAGGAGTTTAATTAAAATGGGGGGAAAGTTGCACATAATTATAAAATTGTGAACCCTTCCCCATAGTATTTACTCTTAAAAACATAGATTTTGATTTTTTTATTCATGCTTTTCATTTCATGCTTTGCTTCTGTTTTTGCATATTAAAATGTTTGCAGGATCTTGCAAAAGATAACTCGGGTTGTTGTAAAACTTTACTTTTCTTTTTTCACTGCTCCTGGGCACAGAAGTGGAAAATACTACTTAAACCATACAGTTTGTTCAGATTTTTTTTTCCATGTGAAAAAAAAAATGAAAACGTGCAACTTTTTTTTGTTTCCTTTTGTTTTAGTCCATTCATCAGAGCAAAGGTTCTTAAGTAGGTTTTGCAACTTTTTTGGGGACTTATTTAGCAGTATTAAATGCTGGAGCTGCACATGTTTAATGTATTCTGCAGGGATGATTCATAGATTGGTCTTAGCATGTTTTTTTTTTTTTATCAGTTTGGCTGCAGCACAGAGTCAACTTAAAATATTAGTTGTCTCAAACATCTGAACTTTACAAAATAATTTGAGCAGCATGGGTTAAAAAACCACCACCAGAGGGCAGGATGTGAACAACACATTCTGTTAAGTCTGAAGTTGGTAACATGATCATCATTACAAAATATGCCTTTTTTAGTCCTATTTATTTATATATATTTTGTATTTGAGCTTTGATCGTGTTCATATCTTGTGAGTTTGTGAAGATTCACTTTAGCGTAGTCGGGTTGAAAGCCTGCAGCAAGGCCTGTAGGTTCAGTAGACAGTTACAAGCAGTGCTTGTATGAACAGACTTGTTTGTATGTTGCAGTGTAGCAGTAAAACTGTATCATGTGACCAATAAAAATCCATTGTGATTGTAATGTTTACTCATTTCCCAATGATGTTCCCAGTTAGAAGCACTCTCTTGGAAACAAACCAAGAAACTTCAATGCCATAGTCTCGATTTTCTTCCCCCACTTGTTTACAGCTTTACACAGACCATCATCAGAATAAAAGTGGGTGTCTTGCAGAGTTCATTCTTCATGACAGCTCCCTCATGTTGACCACATGTGCTTTGAAAGACCGGTAAAAGAAAAAAAAAATGTTTTTATCAGATATGCACACAGTGTGAAGCACAACTGGCTTACATTAAATCTGAGTCACAGACTTAAAGATAATGCATCCTGCACATTATGTGCAGGAAACAAAAGATGCATCCACCTGTTTAAAAGAAGGGATGCTGGAATAGGGGATGCAAGTTATTGCACTTGCAGTGATGGATTGATTTGCTTCACACTGCTGATAACTATTTATTCCACGCCAATCTGGTTTACTTTTGTAAAGCTGCTGCTGCTTATATTCCAATAAAGCCTGTTCTCAGTTAAGCTTTATTCCTTTGCAGGTACAGAACAGAAGGAGGAACAGAAAAAAACCAAAAAACGTTTGTTAGTAGAGATTACTGGATTGATTTACAGGATCCCCGGCTTTCAAGGTGTGAGTGTGACATATTTCAATCTGCTTTGAAACATGATGAGAAGAATGGATTTCTTCTATTTCTCAGAGTATATTAAATCATTGAACTTCAAAGGACTTAAACATGTCAGCATGACGACCTGTATATTTCAAGCAAACAAAACCCAGATGGTCATACCTTTGGCTCAACGTCTCATCAAAAGAAAAAAGGATGGAGAGTCACAACCTCAGCAGATGTGCTGGATTTTAAACAGAACCGGTTATCGCAAATGGGACACCAGGACTGTTTTTAGAGAGGATGAGAAGAAGATGAATGTAGGAGTTGTGTTTCACAAGGACCTAACCCGATTAGAAGCGAATTGAAGATTATTTATTGGAAAGCAGTCTTGACTTAAAGGCTGTTGGGCCTCATGACTTGCTGCAAGTTATTTTTTCCAGACAAGGCAAAAAAATATATACAAATAAAAAGTGACGTTTTGTAAGATCTCATATGCTGTCAATACATGCAGTGCAGAGCACAAATGGAGGAAAGATTCTTAAAATGAAGCTCTGAAATGAATGTAGAACAAGTTTTGGAGTAGAAATGATTTACATGTAACAGCTGTAATTCAAAAATCAGATATGTATTTTGGATAGAAAGATTTTTAAAACTGTTTTTTTTTTTTTCTGACAGAGCCACTGATGCCACATTCATCGTTACCATTAAATATCCTTAAAAAAAACAACCAGTAAACCAAACTTGAATTCTGTTTCGCATGTTTAAACTGATCAGAGTGTCCGGGGGTCTTTAGTCAAAACTGAATGTATAAAATGTACAAAATGTACAAAAATCTATCTGTGAGAAAGGAAAACAAACAGGGTCTACAAAGTGAAACAGACAGGTTGATCGTCTTACATCAGGAAATGGCCTCAAATCCCGAAACACGAGTGCAATCATTCAAAACAAATGGAAATGCTGCCAACAAGGCTGGATGCAGACTTGGGTTTATCTTCCCATCACACACTAAAGAGGAAACAAACTCTGCACAGAGCTGCAGTAAAACACGACATCTAAGGATCGCCAGCTCTTCATGATAACATTATTTAGACTCCACTACTGGAACTCTAACCTTTAGTCAGATTACATTATGAATAGGACAATAACTAATAGAAACCACCTCATGTCCTCTGCTGAGTATGGTGGAGGATCTGTGGTGCTGAGGGCTTGGTTCTCCTACAAAGGCCCAAAGGATTTGGTTGGAGGATTTAAAAGGAAATACTACCAGTCAACTTAAAATTGGTCATCTGTGTTTATTTCAGGAGAATAATGATTGAAAGATAGGGACAAATAAGAAATGAATAGTTATTAAGACATAAAACTAATGCTTGTCTTCATAACCATCTCAGTCTAAAGATCTACATCCTGTGAAGGACTTCTTATTCACATTAGAATGAATGAAAAAGCATAAACTTTTTTATTCTGAAAACTTAGAAGGAATCAAAGATTTCTTTCTCCTTAAGTTCCAGCATTCGTTACAGAGAAGACTTAGTGATGTCCAATTGGCAAAAGACCATTGTGCATCGTATTAGTTTAGGTTAGCTTTACAAGAAGAGGATTGGGAAAAATATATTGCATGTTTTCAAATAATGCACAGCGATTTTTTTTTAAAGCTTCAGTGTAAATCAAGACTTATGAAAGCAGGTGAAAGCCATGTCTTCACAGAAATAAAGCTCCATCCCTTCATCTCTGGCTGCTGTCCACTGCATATGTGATTCATTGTCCCTCTTTCCTTTTGCCTGAGAGCCGGTGGGCTGTGCTGTCATGTGTGCAGCTGTGTGTCACAGCCTCACAAGTCTTTTTCTCATGGCTCTCTGGTCTGAGCAGAGCAGAAGTGCAGTGAGGCTTCTTCACTGAACCGAACAGGTGACTCAGAGTCAGAGCTCGCAGTCCGGATCACTGCTGAGCTAAAAGTGTGTCACTCTGCTGCACACTGAGGCTGGATATAATTAACCCTATGCTGAGCAGAACAAATCCACACTGAAAGGCACAACCATCCAAAACAGATTCTTAGTCCTTAAACTTTCTCATACTTTGTTGGATTAAATCAAACATTTTTATGTATTTTACTTTGATTTAATGTGTCAGATTTTGGTAAAATAAATAACAGTTTATTGAAGAAGGGGATGCATGCTTTAAAAATGGTTCTTGTAAAGATAACCTGAAAAGTTTAGTCCCCATTAATCTGATACCCTGATATAAAACAGTTAAAGATCTATACGTGTATAGCACTCTAATCAAGTCTGAGGGCTCCAACCCATCCAAATGGGGTTCAAACTAGAAACCGGTTACAGCACAAACCCCTTCCTTCTGAGCCACTGTTGCCCTAAAACTCAATGGTTTAAAACAGAACATCTCACTAAGCAATTTCTAAGCCATTATCTCAAAATGGAAATATTATGACCCAACTGCAGAGTCACCAAGACATGGATATCTTTAATTACCTTGACAGAAAGTTGAGCCTAGACCATATGTGCTTTGTTTGGCAATGATTCTCTTCAGCTGGTTCTGTCATCTTCGCAAAAATCATCTTTGGTTTTTGTGACACTTCTTGAAGGGGGTGTGATATAAAGTGAAAAAATCACCACCTTCATATGTTCATTGGCTTTGGGATGTTCTATAATTTGCATTGTGTTTTAGTTTAATTATACCTGATTCTACAATTATTATAATTCTGTTTTCTGTACGCATATTTATGCATGTGAGATGTACTTGTTTGTTTGCATAAATCATGCATACTTTTTTAACATATGTGTAATATTTTTTATTACTGTTTAATTTTGCACAGTTGCATAAAGACGCCCATGGTGACTGTAAGATCTGCAGATATCAGCAGCTCAAGAGGGAGAATCCGTTGACAGGACATAACTCGAAAAGGGGTAAAAAGAAAAACTTTCCTATTGCATAACCTCGTTTTTGAGGCATCATGATGCTGGGATTCGTTTCTTCAGCATGCAGAGTGAAGGTGGTTGGCTAAAGTGGGGGAGAAAACCAAAAGGATAATCCAAACCTGCAACAGAATTGCTGAAAACAAAACTCATTTCTAGATGTGAGACAAACCTTAAAAGACTTGAAGCTGTAAAATTGTCCAGGAGGCTGAATCTAATTGCAATCATGTTCTAAGTTGCTCTTTGTAAAGTATTTAAATACCATTAGTTGTTTTTCTTGCTCTTTACAGTTATACAATACTTTGAGTTGATTTATCTTTAAAACATTGTAGTATGTGTTTGTAATCTGATTAAATAAAAATGTTTAAAGGTGTAAATATGTTTGCAAAGCAGTCTTTGGCCATCTATGACTATCAAAGAGGGGCCCTGTTTTGCCTACATATGCTTTTGTTCAGACATTTGAGCTATGCTCTATACCAGGAAGCTTTTAAAACCCAACCAAACCTTCAAAGACTGTCAATGTTATGCAGCTCCTGCCCTCTGAAACTAATAAAAAAAATACATATTAAAAAAAGAAACACAGGGAAGATGTACAAAGGGCTGGAGAGTGTGTGTTCACGTCTGTGAAGAGTGTTCTTTGTACTGAGCTGCATGTTTGTGCAGAGCTTTTCGTGGAATTGGTTTTGGGTGGGATGCAGGTGGATCTGATATTTGTGTTTGGTTACCGTGGCTTGTGTCAGCTTCACCTGGGAGCTGTGTTAGCGACAGCAACTGGGGTCGAGTCTTTCCACATTGATCTCTCAGAGCGTACTGAAAAAGCTGAGCTTGATCATTGATCCAGCACAGTTTACACTAGCATTTCTTGCATTTAACATCTGACAAATGACAATTAGAAATGCACAAAGCTGTTATTTTGATGTGTGGGTCTCAGTGAAGAACCCGTGCTCATGCATAAAGCAAAGCAAATAATCTCAAATTTTCCACTCTGTTTGAAATGGCATCACTTCCTTTAATGTTTATCCCAGGGATAAGATAAGTGGATAAATGAGGGGATGTGGGATATTGTGGGTCTTGCAATGGAAAGATGTTGCTTCTGTGTGGTGAAGTGGAAGGGGCCTGCCATGGAAACAGGAATATGTGCCAGGGAGTTGGATTAGTGTACCAGGGTACCAAAGGAGCAGACAGGATCACAGCAGCCATTACCAGCAGAGGCTGCACGATGCGACTCAATTAAGCAAATAGAAATGCTTTCGTTGCTGATGATGTGATTTCCTCCCATGACAATAAAATTCTGTTATGAACAGAAACATGTTTTTTTTTAAATATACACTTCCATTGTATTTTTGAAGATTTAGTGTGATGACCCAATTATTGTGAATGGAATGTTTTTTTCAGATCTTCTCATGAAAGAAGTCTGAAAAGTGGGGCATGCATCTGTTTTAAGCCTCTAGAATCAGGGCTCAGATTGGGT